TGGGAAAGTTTTTTTTTTTTGGGGCCAAACCCCGCCTTGGGGGAATCGGCCGGTTGATAAAAAAAAAAAAAAAAAATAACAAAAAAAGACCCCAAAGCGGGGAGTTTTAAATTAAAAAAAAAAAAAAAAAAACAACGGGGAGTTTTTTTTTTTTCTCATTATGCACTGCATGCTCCAGGATTTTTTTTATATGGTGCACACTGACCACACAGACCCATTCTCTCATATGTGGGCCTACGAGCTTTCTCTTGCTAGATTTGAAGCCGCTAGAATTCATGAGTATATATACGTCAAACACGGTACCTCGTAAGATGTATATATATGACCTCTACAGACAAAGGGTTAATGTAGGGTGAGAGGCGAGTTTAATTTGTAGGAAGTTAGGTCTGGGAGGTATGGTAGCCAGCCAGGTCAGCCCACCCCACCCACACATAATATACTACATTTAATTAACCCTTAACCCTTTGACTGTCGCGGGCAACTTTCTGAAACTGTCATTCTGCCGCAAAATTTTTGAGAAAAAAAAAAAAAATTTCTTATGAAATGATAGAGAATTTTTTCCTGATGGTAAAGACACCAAAAGTTCGAAATTTGGTCGAAAAGCCACGGAATTACGCTCCCGCGAAGTTAGCAGTCTCAGCAACATACATGCATCAGCGATTTCGCCGACTTTGAGCCCTGTTTTTAGCCAATTCAGTTGTTCCAGTTGACCAAACTCGACTATTTCTTTAGAACTCCAGTTTATCTATCAGTTGAGTACAAGAAACCGCCCATTTACCGATTTAAACTACCCAATAAAGTTGTCAGAAATTGGCAATTTAGCCAATTTCACGCAAATCAAAGATGCCAATTTCAAAATAGGGTCCAGAATAAACAAGGTAGACATTCTTGGCACTAAAATACCATATCTTCTGTTCATTAGTCACATCTCTAGGCCCCCCTTATATTGCTATTGCTTTCTATTTTGATTTTTTATTCATGCAAAAAAATGCAAAATTTACTGGTATGCAGACTACTGCATTATTTTATAAATGGTATAAATAATATCAGTGCACTAGTGAAAGAATATTAGACTCCCCAGTTGACGAGTATTGGATGTGTGGTGTGATTTGCTTACTCCTGAGCATTGGTAAAAATCGAACATTTCCGCTACTTTGAGCTCATTTTCAAGGTAGTTTTCATCGTGAATGTAATGAAAATCTTCTCTATTTCTGTAATAGGTTTTCCATTATCACCTAAGATCATGAAAACGAGAATACAACGATAAATACTATATGAAAATACACCTCAAAGTCGGTGTTTTAATAAAAAAAAAAAACAATCAGTTTTTTTCTCTCATTACGCACTGTGTGCTGCAGGATATTTTTTATGTGGTGCACACTGACCACACAGACCCATTCTCTCACATGTGGGCCTACCAGCTTTCTCCTGCTTGATTTAAAGCCACTAGAATTTATGAGTATATATACGTCAGAAACAGTGGCGCGTAAGACGTATTTATACGGCGTAAACAGTCAAAGGGTTAAACTGTCCAAACACAGATCTACGTTCACGTGTGTAGCGCTCTGACCTTGATTTTCCCCATTTGAAAGCATGTATAAAAAACGTAGATCTACGTTCAGAGCCCCCAGCACGTGGACGCAGATCTACGTTTGGACAGTTTAAGGGTTAAAGCTCCTCAGTGATAAAACACATACATGTACAGTACATTCATTAACCCCTTGACTGTCGCAACCCCAAATCCTGAGGCGTCTCCTGGCATCGCAAAATTTAAAAAAAAAAAAAAATCTTATGAAATGATAAGAGAATCGTTTCCCGATTGTAATGACGAAATTTGATGGAAAACTCATGGAATTACGCTCTCTCGAAGTTAGCGACCTCGGCGATATTTACAAATTGGCAATTTTGCCCACTTTGAGCCCCATTTTCAGCTAATTCCATTGTTCCAGTTGACCAAACTCATAGCTATTTCTTTAGAACTCCATTTGTTCTATCGATTGAGTACAAGAAACTGCTCATTTACCGATTTCAACTACCCAATAACGTGATCGAAAATTTGCAATTTGGCCAATTTCACGCAAATTAAAAAATATGCCACTTTCAAAATAGGGTCTAGAATGAACAATGCAGACATTTCTGGCTCTAAAATGACATTTTCTTTGTTCATCAGTAACGTCTCCAGGCCCCTCTGATATTACTCTTGCTTTCTATTTTGAATTTTTATTCAAACAAAAATTGGAAGATTTACTGTTATGCAGACTACTGCAATATTGTAATAATTGTATAAATAATGTCAACCCATTCATGATTGCGTATTACAATGGCCAGTTGGACATTTACTGGACAATGACATCATTTATTTACTTTTGAACATCGGCAAAAATCAAACATTACCCCTACTTTGAGCTCCACTCCAAGGTTCTTTTCATTGTAAAACGAATCAAAATCACTGCTATTTCTATATGTTTTCCATTCTATCAAACGAGACCAAGATAATGAGAATACAACCATAAATACTATATGAAAATACATCACAAAGTCGGTGTTTTAATCCGAAAACACCAGTTTTTTTTTTCTTCTCATTATGCACTGCGTGCTGCAGGATTTTTTTTATATGGTGCACACTGACCACACAGACCCATTCTTTCACATGTGGGCCTACCAGGTTTCTCTTGCTTGATTTGAAGCCGCTAGAATTTTTTAGTATATATACGTCAAACACGGCGGCCCCTAAGACGTATATATACGACTGAAACAGTCAAAGGGTTAATTCCCTTAAAATATTTGCAGTCTTAATGTAGGGTGAGAGGCGAGTTTTATTTGTAGAACTCAGGTTTGGGAAGTATGGTATCCAGCCAGGGAAGCCCTCCCCACCCCACCTCACCCACACGTAATGTAAACAAACCAGACAAACATGTCTGGTTTTCGTCATTTTACATTGTGTACAAGTTGTCTCCACGTTGATACAGTAGAATAAATAAAGAGAAACAATCCCATTCTCATGTAACATTATTTTAAGAAGAAATGATGCCCTGAGTGAAGGCATACTTAGGTACATGTACACAAGTAAAATTATCAGTTATAGCAATAATGTAGGTATGTAGTCCGCCTGGGCTACATACCTATACACTTACCTACATAGCTACATGATACTTAGTGCGGCCCAGAGCCATATTATTACCATCGACATACCATGTTCACCGAGTTTAATTGTTTCTAACTACCTTCAGATGCCTTCAAACAAAGGGAGAAGTAATGAATAATTCATGCCAAAAATTGCAAACAAAAGTGTTATATATTAAGGGGAGTGACGTAATGTTTTCCCTCCACCCGGCTACACCACCTCCATAGTACATAAATAATGTTTATATGCTATGTAATGTTTCTTATATAATTTTGAAGAAAATATCAGATGGATTAATGAAAATGTCTATATTAACATAAAATAAAACATTTAATGTGCCCATGAGTGATTATTATTACATAATAGAGAGATGCTCTTACGGAAAACGTCAACAAACCGGGTGGTATGCAAGGTATTTGAAAGATCACTTGCCATATAGAAAGCTTCCATCATAATTCGAGATCGCTGTATTAGCGGAACGCCGAAAAGCGGGGCCCTACTGTATAAGTGCTCTGGAGATGTGACTAATGAACAGAGAAAATGTTATTTTAGTGCCAGGAATGTCTGCAGTGTTTATTCTGGACCCTATTTTGAAATTTGTATGAAATTGGCCAAATTACCAATTTCTGACCATTTTATTAAGTAGCTGAAATAGGTAAATGGGCAGTTTCTTGTATACTCAATTGACAGAACAGAAGGAATACTAGCTTAATATCTACGAGTTAGGTAGACTGGAACAATGGAATGGGCCAAAAATAGGGCGTAAAGTGGGTGAAATTGCCGATGCGTAAATATCACCATTGGGTTAAGTGTATTCTAATCTAACCACTCTGTAATCTGGCAAAATCACAAATATGGCACCCTACAGGTCCCAATGATGCTGGATTAGTGATGGTCAACCTGTACTGAAGAAATAAAGTTTGCTTGTTGTGGTGGTTGTGCTAGTGGTGGGGGTGGTGGGCACCACCATGGGTAATTAGGGTGTGCAATGTGGGTTTTGGTTCCTAGGCTGGGCTGGCTCTGGTGCCATGCACCCCTTTGTGCCACCACCTGCTGCTGACAGGTGCCAGCACAGGCCCCCAGCCTATTACCCATGCCAATCAATGCACCATCATCCTATCATTGTCGCCAGTGTTGGGTCCCGGGATGTACTATGTCCACTGTACATATTAACATTTCACAGGCGAATAATCATCTTCACTCATTGGCTCAGTCATCAGCTGCTAGGAAATCAAAATCCACATCACTAACTCTCACATCTGTGCCCAAGCCACTGGTGAATATGAGCTCTCTTATGGGGCAATGAATGCATTCTGGACAAACCAACCCCACATGTGGATGGTTGTGGGCTCCTGTGGTTTTCAGTGACATTTCTGGTATCCAGATCATCACTTCTGGTCACTAAGTGTTTGAAACCAAAGAACTCATCCTCGGGTACATAATCCTTGCTGTGGATTTGTCAAGGGGGAATTTTAAAGCCCTTTGAATTCTCCTGGGAGTAAGCCCTTTGCATCTGTATGGTGTGATGAACAATGTGTACTCAAGATGGCATTCCCAGAATGCACTGCAGCAGCCCTGATTTTACATATAATATGTACACCATTCATATCTAGACCCACCAAGTCTCTCATGCCAAATCTGAAGCTGCTAGAATTTATGCTTAGATTTACAAAAGCGACCCTGGAATCAATAAGAAATAGTGAAAGGGTTAAAGAAGGGTGAGGATGTTACAGTTTGGAGAGTCATCTCAAGTGTGAAGTTGGCAGACTCCTGGTTAGTGTGACTGAATGGGAGTGTGGATGTTTTTTTTTTTTCTGGGTCACCCTACTTTGGTGGGAGACAGCTTTGGTGTTAAAAATAGCACAGAAATGTTTACCTGAACAGTAATAATACTGGATGGCTTGTGAACAGTGGGAGATGCCGTAGAGACGGGAGTTAAGCGATTACAGAGGCCAGCAGCTCTGGTGAAAGTTAGAGTAGCTGGAGGCTCCAGGGAACTGCAAGTAGATGCAGGAAACAATGTTCTTCTAGCTGATGACTGACCCACTGGTGACTGGAATCTTTCAGATATTGTTGACAGTGGTGAAAGCTGAAGATCTGAAAAGCATGAATAAGCATTATTATTATTATCATTTTAATTTTCATTGCTAAAAATAACACACTGGCTATCTCACAAAGGTAGGGTGACCAGAAAAAGAAACTGTTTCACCATCATTCAATAACTTATCAGAAGAATGCCAACACCAGAGTTCAAATGACTCAACTGCAACATTCTCATTCCCCTCTCCTCCTCCAGTGTTGGCACTGTACTTCCCACCTCCAGGACTAAAGTCCAGCTAGCTGGTTTTTCTGAATCCCTTCATAAATGTTACCTTTTGCACACTCCAACACTGTCAAATCATAAAAATTACTTTTTTTCCACTCATTATCTAACATGCTCATACAAACTTCTTCGATGCTCAATATTTTTTTTTTTTTTTTTTTTTTTTTTTTTAACAAGTTGGCTGTCTCCCACCGAGGCAGGGTGACCCAAAAAGAAAGAAAATCCCCAAAAAGAAAATACTTTCATCATCATTCAACACTTTCACCTCACTCACATAATCATTGTTTTTGCAGAGGTGCCCAGAATACAACAGTTTAGAACCATATACCTATAAAGATACACAACATATCCCTCCAAACTGCCAATATCCCGAACCCCTCCTTTAAAGTGCAGGCATTGCACTTGCCCATTTCCAGGACTCAAGTCCGGCTATATAAAAATAACAGGTTTCCCTGAATCTCTTCACTAAATAGTACCCTGCTCACACTCCAACAGCTCGTCAGGTCCCAAATACCATTCGTCTCCATTAACTCCTATTGAACACGCTGACGCACGCTTCCTGGAAGTCCAAGCCCCATGCCCACAAAACCTCATTTCCCCCTTCCTTCCAACCTTTTTGAGGACACCTACCCTGCTTTCCTTCCCCTACTGATTTATATGCTCTCCATATTCTACTTTGATCCATTCTCTCTAAATGACCAAACAACCTCAACAACCCCTCTTCAACCCTCTGACTAATACTTTTATTAACTCCACACTTTCTTCTAATTTCCACACTCTGAATTTTCTGCATAATATTTACACCACACATTGCCCTTAGACAGGACATCTCCACTGCCTCCAACTGCCTCCTCGCTGCAGCATTTACAACCCAAGCTTCACACCCATATAAGAGTGTTGGTACTACAAGACTTTCATACATTCCCTTCTTTACCTCCAAAGATAACTTTTTTTTTGTCTCCACATATACCTCAATGCACCACTTGCCTTTTTTCCCCTCATCAATTCTATAATTAACCTAATCCTTCATAAATCCATCCGCTGACACGTCAACTCTCAAATATCTGAAAACATTCACTTCTTCCATACTACTCCTCCCCAATTTGATATCCAATTTTTCTTTATCTAAATCATTTGATACCCTCATCATTTTACTCTTTTCTATGTTCACTTTCAACTTTCTACCTTTACACACACTTCCAAACTCGTCCACTAACCTTTGCAATTTTTCTTTAGAATCTCCCATAAGCACAGTATCATCAGCAAAAAGTAACTGTCAATTCCCATTTTCTATTTCATTCCCCATAATTTAATCCCACCCCTCTCATGAACACCCAAGCATTTGCTTCTTTTACAACCCAATCTATAAATATATTAAACAACCATGGTGACATTATACATCCCTGTCTAAGACCTACTTTTACTGGGAAGTAATCTCCCTCTCTTCTACACACCCTAACCTGAGCCTCACTATCCTCATAAAAACTCTTTACAGCATTTAGTAATTTACCACCTATTCCACATACTTTCAACATCTGCCACATTGCTCCCCTATCCACTATCATATGCCTTTTCTAAATCCATAAATGCAATAAAAACTTCCCTACTTTTATCTATATACTGTTCACATATATGCTTCATTATAAACACTTAATCTACACATCCCCTACCCACTCTAAAACCTCCTTGCTCATCCACAATCCTACATTCAGTCTTACCTCTAATTCTTTCAATAATAACCCTACTGAACACTTTCTGGTATACTCGGTAACCTTATTCCTCTATAATTCTTACGAACTCTTTTGTCCCCCTTCCCTTTATATAAAGGGACTATACATGCTCTCTGCCAATCCCTTGGTACCTTCCCCTCTTTCATATTATTTATTATCACACTGGCCGATTCCCACCAAGGCAGGGTGGCCCGAAAAAGAAAAACTTTCACCATCATTCACTCCATCACTGTCTTGCCAGAAGGGTGCTTTACACTACAGTTTTTAAACTGCAACATTAACACCCCTCCTTCAGAGTGCAGGCACTGTACTTCCCATCTCCAGGACTCAAGTCCGGCCTGCCGGTTTCCCTGAATCCCTTCATAAATGTTACTTTGCTCACACTCCAACAGCACGTCAAGTATTAAAAACCATTTGTCTCCATTCACTCCTATCATACATTTATTAAACAAATATACCAACCACTCCAACACTATCCCCCCCTGCTTTCAACATTTCTGTCATGATCCTGCCAGTTCCAGTTGCTTTACCCCCTTTCATTCTATGTAATGCCTCACGCACCTCCCCCATACCCACATCCTGCTCTTCTTCATTCCTAAAAGATGGTATACCTTCCTGGCCAGTGCATGAAATTACCGCCTCCCTTTCTTCGTCGACATTTAAAAGTTCCTCAAAATATTCTTGCCATCTACCCAATACCTCCCTCTCCCCATCTACTAACTCCCCTACTGTTTTTAACTGACAAATCCACTCGTTCTCTAGGCTTTCTTAACTTGTTAAACTCACACCAAAATTTTTCATTATTTTCATTAAAATTTCTTGACAGTGCCTCTCCCACTATCTGCTCTCCTTTTGCACTCTCTAACTACTCTCTTCACCTTTCTTTTACTCTCCATATACTCTACTCTTCTTATAACACTTCTGCTATGTAAAAACCTCTCATAAGCTACCTTTTTCTCTTTTATCACACCCTTTACTTCATCATTCCACCTATCATTCCTCTTTCCTCCTGCACCCACCCTCCTATAGCCACAAACTTCTGCCCCACATTCTAGTACTGCATTTTTAAAGCTATCCAACCCTCTTCACCCCCCCCCCCCCACTACTCATAGCTGCATCAGCCCACGTTTCTGCCAATAGTTGCTTATATCTCACCTGAACTTCCTCCTCCCTCTTACTTGTTGCTATTTTCCTCTTTTCCCATTTACCTCTTACTCTAAGTGTACCTACAACTAAGTATTGATCCGATATATCAGTTGCCCCTCTATAAACTGGTACATCCTGGAACCTACCCATCAACCTTCTATCCACCAATACATGATCTAACAAACTACTTTCATTACGTGCTATATCATACCTTGTATATTTATTTATCCTCTTTTTCATAAAATATTTAATACTTATTACCAAACCTCTTTCTACACATAGCTCAATTAAAGGCTCCCCATTTTCATTTACCCCTGGGACCCCAAATTTACGTACTACTTCTTCCACAATATTTTTACCCACTTCAGCATTGAAATCCTCAACCACCATTACTCTCACACTTGGTTCAAAACTCCCCATGCAGTCACTCAGCATTTCCCAAGATCTCTCTCTTCCCTCTACACTTCTCTCTTCTCCAGGTGCATATACGCTTACTATAACCCACTTTTCACATCCGACCTTTATTTTACTCCACAATCCTTGAATTAATACATTTATAGTCCCTCTTTTCATGCCATAGCTTACCCTTCAACATCATTGCTACTCCTTTTTTAGCTCTAACTATTTGAAACCCCTGACCTAATCCCATTTATTCCTCTCCACTGAAACTCTCCCACCCCCTTCAGCTTTGTTTCACTTAAAGCCAGGACATCCAGCTTCTTCTCATTCGTAACATCCACAATCATCTCTATCATCATTTGCACAATATCCACGCACGTTCAGACTTCCCGCTTTGACAATTTTCTCCTTATTTTTTAATTATTATTACAGGAAAAGGGGTTACTAGCCCATTGTTCCCGGCATTTTAGTTGACATTTACAACACGCATGACTTACGGAGGAAAGATTCTTATTCCACTTCCCCATGGATATGAAAGGAAAAATAATAAGACCAAGAGGTATTAAGATAAAAATCAAAGAAAACTCAGAGGAGTGTGTATAAATAAACGTGTACATGTATGTGTAGTGTGACCTAAGTGTAAGTAGAAGTAGCAAGACATGCCTGTAATCATGCATATTTATGAGAGACAAAAGACACCAGCAATCCTACCATCATGTAAAACAATTACAGGCTTTTGTTTTATACTCACTTGGCAGGACGGTAGTACCTCCCTGGGTGGTTGCTGTCTCCCAACTTACTACCCTGAATCCCTTCACTAAATATAACCCTGCTCACACTCCAACAGCTCATTACGTCCCAAATACCATTTGTCTCCATTAACTCCTAACACGCTCACGTATGTTTACTGGAAGGTCAAGCCCCTCGCCCACAAAACCTCCTTTACCCCCTCCCTACAACCTTTTCGAGGATGACCCCTACCCCGCCTTCCTTCCCCTACAGATTTATACACTCTCCACGTCATTCTACTTTGATCCATTCTCTCTAAATGACCAAACCACCTCAACAACCCCTCTCAGCCCTCTGACTAATACTTTTATTAACTCCACACCTTCTCCTAATTTCCACACTCCAAATTCTCTGCATAATATTTACACCACACACTGTCCTTAGACAGGACATCTCGACCGCCTCCTCGCTGCAGCATTTACAATCCAAGCCTCACACCCATATAAGTGTTGGTACCACTATACTGTGTAGATCAAGTGTTTACATTGAAGCATATATGTGAACAGTATTTAGATAAAGGTAGGGAAGTTTTTATTGCATTTATGGATTTAGAAAAGGCATATGATAGAGTGGATAGAGGAGCAATGTGGCAGATGTTGCAAGTATATGGAATAGGTGGTAAGTTACTAAATGCTGTAAAGAGCTTTTATGAGGATAGTGAGGCTCAGGTTAGGGTATGTAGAAGAGAGGGAGAATACTTCCCGGTAAAA